TGTGTGTGTGTGTGTGTCTCTTCAGGAAGTTGGTGAGCAGCCAAACCAGGAAAACGGAGATCCTCCCCGCAGAGAAAGACGACACGCACGCACCGAGCACGGGACTGATCTGAGCACGCTCAGTTGGACTCTGTAATGAACAGCTTGTCTTCTGTTTTTTTTCTGTGTTTTAAATTAAAGACCAAAGACGAGTTTCTGATTTCACCTGACCTGCTGTTGGCGTTGAGCCCCGCCCCCTTTTGGGTGAAATTGTACCTTTTTTTTTTATAGATAAATAGTTTGTTTTGGTCCAATGTGACGTTACTGTAAACTAAGTTCCCAAACTTATTAGCCCCATTTAGCAAGAAAACAATAAGATTCTGACATATTAATTATTTTCTAAACTATGTTTTATAATAATAATAATGAATTAATACACATAATATGTGTATTATTCAATACGCAAATACGTTTGCGCGCTCTCATGAAGACTTTTATTTTCTTGTTGTTGTCACTTTGTTCTGTTTTCATCAGTGTGAAAATAAACTGGACATCATGAAGTATTGAAACATCCTCGGTTACTAGTTTACAGACGAGCTGCTCTTTAAGGTAAACATTAGCAGTGCAGCAGAGGCTCATGGGAATTAGTTCTGCAGATAGTTTAGGAAATAAATGAAGTTTAAAAGTGGAACCGAGACAAGAAGGAAACAGGTGGTTTTATCTGATATTAAATTGAGCAGTTATTTCAAGGAAATGCTTTTTATTCCCTAAAATTTGTACAAACATACTTAGAAAACTACAAAGCTGTAAAATAAAGTCTTTATTTTCATTATAGATTAATATGCTGATTATTTTATTAACTGATTCTTTTTGTCGTCTATAAAACAGAAAAATATCAAGTTGTCCATTAAAGTATCTCAGAGAACAAATATGTCATTGTGTCTATTTACTGTCATTTAAGACAAAGAAAAGCATCAAATTCTCTCATTTTAACCTAAAACCATTAAAAATAACAACATTTGGAGTTATTGTCTTCTTTAGAAACTAACTTTACTGAGTTACTTTCCACCACTTGTGTGTTTGTTATTTTAAATCACTTAAAGCAGGTTTCCTTTGCACTGTTCTGTTCCATGAATGAAACACTGCTTAGAGGTTATTACTGCAGTAGTGGCGCTCTCTGCTGGACAACACAGGAAATGCAGCCTTTAAATTAGACTTTATTTTCACTATAAATGCTGTTAAAGCCTCTAAAAGATCAATTAATGAAGAATGTGTCTAAAACTACATTTCTGTTAACTAAAATTATGTTTGTACACTTTGTTTAAACCTTCAACAGACATTTTTAAAAGATAAAACTGATCATTTTTAGCCATAAAAACACTGATAAACAAAGTTTGGACGCAGAAATACAAGCAAAGTTTTTATAAATTTGTTTTATTTATGATCCTTTAACAATCTGAAATCACATCAGTTAATGATTTTTATATATATATAAAGTAGAAACATTCACAAGTGTCCAAAACTAACTGACCAGTGTCCCGTTTCTAAAGGTGGACGCAGTAACAGATCCCAGAAATACTGTTTAATATGAACACAATCTTTACCTCAGTTTAATATCCAAGATTTATATGTAAATTCCCCTTTCAAAGTAAAAAGAAACGTGTTTTAGTGCAGTTTCCCAACCACCACCTCCAGTAAAACCAGTTCAATACACAAAGTGCTGAGATTTCAGACGCTGCTCAGTTCCCTGAACTCAACACTGAACTGTTTTATTATCAATAGTTTCATTGTTTTTAGATAAAGTTTAAACTTTGAATTTCATTTGTCGGCAGTGTAAAATAAATAATAATAGTAACGCTGTTATTTTCATTAACGAGTTATCGGCTGATTACTTTATTGATTATTGATTTTGGGCTATAAAACACAAGAAAACTTAACGTACATTTTAGAGCCTAAAACTATAAATATTTTTGGTGTTTGAAACGATGACGTAAAAAAATTGATTCTAAAAATAGTTCTCTTTCCATCAACTAATTGATCATTGATCAGCTCTACAAAACCTAAAACGTCTCCATGGAAACCGTCGTTCTGCTGCAGTTACCCCATCCGACCACCGGGCGGCGGTCAGTACGTGACGAAGTTGGCGGGAAAGATCCCGACGCGCCCGTTGTCCAGTTGCCCCTCCCACCAGTCGTACTGCGAGTCGGTCTTGGTGATGACGGCGATCCGGTCTCCGGGGCTGAAGCTCAGGTCACCGGGCTGCTGACCGGCGAACGCGTGTGTCGCCGTGACGACCAACTGGCCGCTGGCTCCGCCCACTGACGAGTCTCCGCCTACAGGAAAATTAAAGGGGCCTTTAATGGATCCGCAACATTTATTTAAAGGAATAGTTCAATCTTTCAGGAAACTGAT